GGGGCTAGGTTGCATCATAGTCGTCACTAGCAAGACTGTGATGGATGGCAGTTTGCAAGAACTCTGCATTGAACTTGTTGTCTGGTTCAAATATCCGACAGGTCCGTTCGTCATTTTTCTCTTGATAAATTGTAGCTCAGTGCGGCTCAACCATCCGACAGCAGGGTTGCCCTTCGTCCTTGGTGAATGGCAGCTCTGTCCTTCACAGGCTTGCCCCCATTCCTCTTTTTCCCGTTCCAATCGCCTATCTTTGGGGGATGGGGGGGAGGAGGGAGGGGGAATCCTTTGGGGTATGTCTAGAATTCAGGGGTAGCTTAAACTTCAAACTCAAAGGACTATAAGCTGCAGAGGTGCTTTGGCCCAACTATCATACTCACCCAACAGCTGCCAAAGATCGATCAACCAGAGATTGACTCCATGGAAGTCCTATTTTTGACTGCTCACGTTTAGTGAGTTTCCCTTCCAGAACCTTCTTCACATATCTGAAACAAAAAACAAGTGGCATTTTCCCAGCACAACGGGGGGAGAAAGTTGTTCAAGGAGCCAAAAAACAGGAACACAAACACAAGAGACAAATGCATACGCTGCTCTGAGTTTCTAGGCCATCCTCATCGCTCATTATTTTGACCTTGTCCCACTGTCACAGCATCAGATTGTCGCTGTGACTGATGACGATAGGTGTGAATGGGGGTGATGATGACAACAATGACGACAATGACAACAATGATGACAATGACGACGGCTATGAGACAGTGATAGTAATGACAACAAAGGAGGAGGGGAGGCAGATAACAATGATGATAGCAAGAACTGCAGTAGCAGCAGAGCAAGAAGAACGAGGACAAGGAGGACAAGGAGGATGAGGACGACAAGGAAGAGGGGGAAGAGGAGGAACAGGAGGAACAGGAGAGGGGACGAGGGTGGGGACGGAAGGGGGGGTGCAAAGTGAAGGGGAAGGAGGAGGAAAAGAGGGACGAAGACAAGGAGGAAGAGAAGGAGAAGAAGAGGAGGAAGAGAAGGAGAAGAAGAGGAGGAGGAGAAGGAGAAAACGAAGGAAAGAAGAGGAGGAGGACACAGAGCACGAGGAGGGTGAGGAGGAGGAGGAGGAAGAACAGGAGGCAGAAAAGCAGGAGGAGGAGGAGGAGGAGGAGGAGAAGAGGGAGAGAAGGACAAGCAGGAGGAGGAGGAATTGCTTGGCCGAATCCATCGTCACATTCACACTAGGTAGATTGGTTTACCACATTCATTGTGACCTTGCATAAACATGGGACATCAGTAATGAGACTCCTGGGGTAATCTCTGTGCTAAACAGTCTAAAGACTCTAAAGTTTCTAAACTAACATGGCCGATGCATATGATCGTCTGTACGACCAGATTCAAGTCCACTTCACACAAACATGGCATCAGACCTTGCTAAATTAACACAGACATCACCATAGAGCCATATTCACATCAGGTCCTTCAATCATTCATGTTAACATGGTCAGCTAGACGAAGCCATGCTGGGGAGAGGTGATGTTACAGTTCGGCCAGGGATTGATCCCTGGACCTCATGCTGGTACTGGATATTATTTTTCCGGCATGCCACCATCCTTACATCGACCAGATTCAAGTCCACTTCACACAAACATGGCATCAGACCTTGCTAAAGTAACACAAACGTCGTCTGAGAGCCATATTCATGTTAACGTGGTCAGCTAGACGAAGCCATGCTGGGAAGAGGCGATGTTACGGTTCGGGCCAGGGATTGCTCCATGGACCTCATGCTGGTACCGGATACTATTTTTTCTGGCATGCCACCATCCTTACATTTCTGTCACTGGCACCTTTCTGATACTGACTTATTCCAGACTGAACATTGCAGAGACAAGTCAAGCTGTTAGGCTGTTCCCGGGTATATGAAGCGCCAATCACACGCATTAGAGTCGGTGCTGTACTTCAAACATCGAGTGTGAGTGGGACATCATCGACTTCGCGGCTGTTACTCTTCTCGTACCAAGGGCATACTCACACTAGGACATGTTTGACTCAGCTATGGACATAATTGCGGTCGGGTACATCCAGAGTCGGTCGCATTTGCCAACCAATACATCTAGAAACGTCCTAGTGTGAGTACGCTCTGAGTCTCCGTTCATCGTCCCATTCGAGTCCACTGTCAGGGTTGGGGTCATGTGTTTGTGCTACCTCCCGCTTCCTCCTACTCGTCCGCCGCCTTCTGGACCCAGTCCTCGCCACTGGCGAAGTATTCTTGCTCAGTTCGTCTTCCTTCTCCTCCTCTGCCGCGGGAACAGGTCCTCACCACAGGCAAAGTATTCCATAACGGGCTTCGCTTTCACCCCAACGCACTTTGCGAAGTGTCCGGTTTATGAGCGGAAAGTAATTGAGTTCAATTCCTTTCGATCAAGCTTCATGTGAACTTCTCATACATGGATGTTTACATGGACTTTGCACAAACGCAGCACCTGTCATGCTAAATTGACATATGAACATCATCAGATTACTTCACCAGATTCGGACAGTCAGCACGAGCATAGCTAGCACCAGTGGGGCCTGAGTGAGATCTGAGTCACCTGACCCTCAACTCACTCGGGAACATGTACATGATGCAGTTCACCAACAGACGCCTTAGGAGCCTTGAATATGGTTATGAGCCCCATCAAGGACCTGTCGCCCTCTAGGGTATGTCGGGTTCGCCTATACCTGCATCAGAAAGACCACGCCCACGAGAACTTCAATCAATAAATTTACTGCTTGACCCCCTGCCTACCCATCCAAAGGACCCACCCCCAGTCCCCCTTCCCAGAAAACAAAAAAGGAGTAAATAAACAGAAGAAAGGTCACAAGGAGTCCATGAGGAACCCCATTAAAACTCGAAAAATTTGGTCACTGCCTCCTATTCTCGATCGAGTACACCGGGCTTCCTAGCTTTATATGGCCAGCAAATTGCACGAGATGGCAGATAAAGTGTTTCTCCTAACGAAGAGGTAATCCCTAACCTTGTTGCATCCACTACCTTCTTCCCCCGAATACAATGTATGGTCATTATCCCTGTATTTGGGGCAACTTTAAGTCTAGATGCAGCAATAATGACCATACGTTGTATTCGGGGGAAGAAGGTAGAATTCAAGCTCTTAATCTGTTTAGCAACGGTTATGTGTGTACCATTCAGCCACCTGGCAGGTGCAAGGGTTGAGTGAATTCGGATGATATCCAGAAGCACTCAGACTTGTGATCTGTTTACGAAGAGCTTCATGTGCATCCATCAGAATGTGAACTAATGATCTCCTTAGGAGAAGACTTTAAGGGGGGAGAGGGGAGCAGGGCCAGCGGGAAGGCAGAGAGAGAAATGGGAAGACGGAAGGCAGACAGAGAGGTAACACAGGAGGAGGGGAAAGGTAGGGGGAGAGAGAAAGGCAAGGGGAGAGTGACTTCAGGAGAGGGCAGGCAGGAGGGAATGCAGGAGGAAGGGGGAGGCAGAGGAAGAGGGAAGGCATGACGAGGGAGGGAGGCAAGGGGAGAGGAAAGGCATGATGAGGAATGAAGGTAGGGGAAGGGAGGAAGGCAGGGCAGGGAGAGACGGGGAGGGTGGAGACAAGGGGAGAGGGAAGGTAGGGGGATAGGGCACAGGGAAGGAGGAAAGCAGAGGAAGGAAGGGGGAGGGTGAAGACAAGCGAAAAGGGAAGGCAGGGGGACAGGGCACAAGGGGGAGGGAGGAAGGCAGGGAAAGGGGAGGAAGGAGGAAGGCAGCCGAAGGCGGGAAGCAAGGAGTGGGAATGCAGGGCGAGGGAGGAAGGCAGGGGAAGGTGGGAAGCAGTGGAGGCAGAAAGTATAGGCAAGGGGAGCGAAAGGACGGGTTGGAAGTGGCAGGGGCTGCACCCCTAAAGGATGACACTTGTCCACTCTGCCTGAAGTTGCTTTCAGCACAAGTCCAGTAGTCAGAGAACAAGGGCATGAAGCTATGCGAGCATCACGACATGACAAGATGAGGATGGTTGGATAAGTATGATGAGGGGAGTTTGTAACCTCATACTTCGTCATAGGGAAGCGATGACCAGGTGGAAGCTCAACTACATGATGGTCACAGTGAAAGCACAGGAGCCCAGAGGCAGTCTTGCGAGCACGAAGAGCAGCTCCTTTAGTTGCCTCAAATGAATAATCTTCTTGGTCTGCTACATATGGTACACTTTGTCCATTTACGTTGGCAATGGCATCCATAGACAAGCAGCGGATCAAACGCTTCAATGACAACATTTTCGGTGACCAGCTATGTATCTGGGACCGGCTGCATGCCCCACTTCGTCTGATCATTAACCCTTCGAGCGACGCTGGCTTCTTTACTGCTGAAATCTCCTCCAATACGATACAACAGACGCGCACATGACAACGCCAACACACAATGAGAAGAAGGATGCTGAATTGTCATTCGTATTGAGTTATAACGGTGCTATAAACCTATTCATCTGACTCGCATTAAAGTTTAAACTAAACCACGACCACTCCACGAGGCCCCATATTTGGTGGCTTGTTTTTTTTGTGGCTGCCAAATTCTTTTTGAACAACCCTGGATCAGGCTGCGTGTTAATTGTTTTGTAAATTTGTACTAAATTTGTAGCCATTGGCCGAAAAAATCCATGGTCTTCTTTTTTTCTACCACATTGAACACAAAAACGTGCTGAGGCTTCAATCAGAGATTGACTGCGCAAAAAGTGATGATGAATCCGTCCGAGAAACTTGGGAATACAAAATAAGGTCAGGTCGCACTGGTGCTAGGTTCATGCTAGGAAGCATGAACCTAGTCATAAAAACGGTTAGATTCCTGCCCGCCTCCTCAGCACAAACATAGCAGCAGTAGGGTTTACCAGTTTAGTCGCACCGGCGCTATGTCATGGGCGTATTGAATATGGGTTAGGCCCCCCCGGTGCTATGTGTGTGCCATGTTTGTGCATACTGCTCAGCTGCTGTTATATTTGTGTCACATTTGCATGATCCTACCCCATTTTGCAACACATTCAGAGCTTTTTGACCATGGACGTAGCACAGATGGGGCTTGACATAGCCCCAAATGGGCTTGCCCCAAATATGAAACACAAGCAGCTCACCCCACCGGTGTTGTGTTTGTGCATGAGCCTATCCAGATTTGCACACAGATTGCTTGTGTGTGCGTGTGTGTGTGCGTGTGTGTGTGTGTGTGTGTGTGTGTGTG